TGACAATTCTTATCAAAAGCTCACCACAGACTACTTCCTTTTTGCCCAAATCTAAATAATATATTGGCTTCTTCACCACAGGCAGCTACTATCAGAGAATCCAACTTCTCTCAGTAACAGGCAGGAATGTTTCAAATGACCAGATTGTCAATGCTGATTGTTTTCTTAGGAGCTTCACATTTACAAAGGGTAGGTACACCAAGTTGATTGTCCAAGAGTATCTAAGAAAAAGGCTGTGTTTGTATTATAAGATTTGTACCCTATGGTTAAAAGAGTCCCTTTTATTGTAAAAGGATGCTGAGTTCTGGGTGACCAAAGTTCATGTTTCCATAGTAAAATGCGAATGTGGGTTTAAGGTTACAAATGAAAGTTGCAGAAACTTACTGGTATAATGATTCCTTTGACATCAAATGTGAATTGTACTCAGACTGCGGTTATTAAAAAGATGCTGTGATCCTCAGGCTTGGAGAGCAAGGGATCTTTAGCTGGGTCAAAGGTAGAGACGATGCCCAGAGCCATATTTAAGAAGCATTTTCAAGAATCTCTGACACTTCTGTTATTTCTCTTATCCTCCTGGAGAGCTCTTCTATGGCCCTGGCTTCATCTATTGCTTATAAGATAAGAAGACTCTTCCTAGTCAATATTTCCTATTTCAACTTTTCTTCATACCTCTTTCTCCTATCCCCAACTAGCTGGTGTGTATTTTCTCCTTGATTTATTTATGTATCTTTGATATCTCAAACAGAGATTGGATTTTTCCCTTGAGAAATCTGCACCCAGGTCTGACTAGCCTGCATGTCCTTAGCACCAGTGTTTTCCAAGACATTGTCTTGCATTCACGCAGAGTCACCATTGGCTCCCTTCCCCTCTCTTAATCTCTACAGAAACTATTCGTTCTTCCTTCACAGCCTTTCACTTTTACTTCTTTACTCGGTTATTCATACGCAGTTGATTTCTTGGCTGCACTATTGAGGTAAGATGACTTTGTCTACTGGTTTCCTTGTCTGTAGTTCTTCCCTCCCCAATCCTATTCACAACCCAGGGGAATAGCCCAAAACTAACTGAGAATGATTGAATCCAGCTTGTCAGGTTTAAAATGGAGGCAAAAACTAGTCTCTAAAAACATAAACCAAAATTTTGACTGAAGTTCCTCTCCTATATGTCACATGAAGGAAGAAAACTATTTCTTAGTCCAAGAAAATAGAATATTGGCCATCAAGCGGACAGTAATGGGGATCAGATTTCAGAGCCATGTCAGAAGAGCCTTTCATGAATCAGAGTTGTAGCACAATGGAATAGTCTTGGTAATAGAGAACAGCATGTTTTCTGACTTTGGATATGTTCAAGCAGAATGAGAAAATTGCTACTCAAGGTTGTTGCAGTGAGCTTTCATGCTTTAGGCCAGTTTACCATTAAGTCCTTGTCAAATTCTAAACGTTCATAGCATAATCACAGCTTTCTCCATCCCTCCTACCTGCTGGGAATCCAGAGTCTGTTCTTGATGTTCTATGTTTTCCTCATTCCAAATCCTACATAGGATAAGCAACGTCCAGAGGGGTGCTCTTCCTGTCATCCCATGTCTTTTTACTTCCGCTACCTTGAGCCTTTACATAACTTAGGGTAAATCTAGTTATTGCATACCTTTATCTGTCAGGTTCTGTGCTTAGCATTTTTCCTAATTTGATAGGTATATCACCCCTGTGAAATACTAAGATCTGGATCTTAAAAATCTATCTTGAAGAAGGTAGGTAGTGGCCATACTGAGAAACTAAAGTTTTCAACTCCTGGTTCTGTGTACTTGAGAAAAAAGAAAAAGGAGGAAGAGAGGAGTGAAGAGACCCACATCCTAGACTGAGTAGATTAGAGAGGGTGTTCATGAGGTATCTATATATTAAAAAATTACATCTGGTGGAACATCAGTTAGCATAATGGCTAAGTTGCTGGACTCCCATGTAGTCAACTGCAGTTCGAGTCCCAGATCTGGCAGCTTAAACTCGTGCCAGGCACATGTGCGTACGTGCCCAAGATCCCGAGAGGAGAATGGAGGAGAAGTGATTGCGGCGTGACCATCCCCCCTGGGAGGTGATTTCTCGCTTTCTGTCTCTCTGTCTCTCTGGCGAGCGCATGCGCCCTGTAGCAAAAACCTCTCAAAAAAAAAAAAATTACATCTGGCATTTTTATCTCTATAAATATTAAGCTCTGTGTGTTGCAGCAAAAATTGTAAACTGATTTTTCTTTTTTTAATTTATTTTTTAAATAATTACTTAATTGAACTTTATTTATTTATTTTAATTTGACCAGAGATGGACAGAGTGAGAGAGGGACAGAGTGCAGAGCAGGGAATGAGAAAGCAAGCCACCAGGTCCAGGACTCAAATTGCAGTCAGCCATGTGGGAGTCTAGCGCCCTTAACCACCACACCACCTGCCGGCCCCATAAACTGATGTTTAATATAGTTACTGAAAAAATAACACAGAAAAGTGAGGAAACTTTAATATATTTGATTCAATAACAAGAAAAATTATAGTACATTGTCATGTATTTAGTCACTGCATGATATAGTAATAAATATTCATGTCTTCAAATATGTGTTAGGTTAACATTACATAAATTACTTTAAACTTTAACACTAGACTGTTTCAATATGTGTAGCTTTCGTGTAATTTGCCATCTATCGCAACTTTTAAAAAATATCAGAGGTGCTAATATTGAAGCAATAAAAAGAAGATGTTGTTAAGGTCTTAAAGTAACAGACGTGAATATGCCAGCACTGGGCATTGCACACAATAAATGTTTATTTGATCTGAATCTAGCATCTGTATCAGAGATCAGGTGACATGTCATGCCATTGCTTTGTTTTATTCCTTAGTATAAGTAATCATAACATTTTTAAAAAACAGTACTCTGACACAGAAATTCTACTCTTTTTTTACTTTTTTTGGTTTTGTTTTGAGAGAGAGATTTTTGCTCTAGGGCACGTGTGCTTGCTAGAGAGACAAAGAGATAGAAAGTGAGAAATCACCACCCAAAGGGATGGCCACATCACAATCCCTTCTCCTCCAGTCTTCTCTGAGGATTTTGGGCATGCATGCACACACACCCAGCGTAAGTTTTAAGCTGCTAGATCTGGAACTTGAGCTGCTGTCAACTACGTGGGAGTCCGGCAACATAACCATTACATCATCCTTGGGTCCCCAGCAATTCTACTCTTTAAGGAATCTATACTCTCATACAATTTAGTCAATCCTCTATTGTTTATAATTGCATGTTTGTGAGCTGAAAATTGGAGAAATTATAGAAGTTGTCGAGTGCCTACTGTACACCAAGCTCTGTAGGTTGGTTATCTCATTGATCCTTAATTAATCCTGAGGAGTAGATATATTATCTCTCTTTTACAGATGAGAAAACCGAGGCCTGTAGAGGCAAAGTAATTTGCCCAAGATTATATAAGTAGTTAATACCTAATCTGGAACTTGAACTCAGATATCTCTGACTAAAACCTATATTCTCCCAATTTACCAGTGATGTAAACATTGGATTCTGGATTCTGTGCAAATGTCTCGAAGTAGTAAGAGAGGTCAAAGGGAAGCCCAAATAGGTGGAACTCATTCCCCACCATCATTTGAACCACAGCATCTGCTTTACAATAACAAAATTACAACAATTACAAACAACAACCAAAAAACTTTTAGATGAACCATTCTACTATACTGCATAGAGATTTGGTTAGAGATTTAACATTAAAAATAATTTTCACATAGTTCTATAATATGTACTGACGGGTGGGTATCTTCTTAAAAATGAAATAGTTTGGAACCAGCAGATGATGTAATGGCTACATTGTTGGGCTCCCATGGAGTCGATCGCAGTCCAGACCTGGTGGCTTAAACCATGCTGGGCATGTGTGCATATGTGCCCAAGATCCGGAGAGGAGGATGGAGGAGAAGGGATTGCAGCCTGGCCATCCCGCCTTGGGTGATTTCTCACTTTCTGTCTCTTTGTCTCTCTCTATCTTTCTGGTGAGCTCCCTATAGCAAAAACCTCTCAAAAAAAAAAAAAAATGAAAGAAAGAATTTAGTATTAGCCATCAATCAAGGAAATGTTAGTGGGTTGAAAAGGTATTCAGGTGGGGGTAAGGTCTCAGATAATGAAGGTCACCTAACCTTGGGCCATTATCAGCTCAGTCTTCACCAAGAAGGTCTCCCTAAAGCCTGATGGGCCAGTTTCAGTAAAATATTCATAACATAGTATCAGTATAACTTGATATTTCCCTTAAGCCACCCAACCAGAACCAGACCAAAACAAAAACTATTGAGTATCAACCAATTTTAGGAGAGAGGGCTTAGAACTTTAACTTGCTCAAGTTTGTTTTGTTTTTCGTTTGTTTGTTTTTTCACTCATTTACTCATTCATTCTGAATATAGTAGGTGACTATAAGATATTTTGGTGATAGATTGACTATAGGGTATTTTACCCAGGGAGATGAGCTAGAGACTAGAAGCATTTGCAATTCATTCACTGCACTAACTCAGATTTTTGCTTCAGCATTTGCTTTCTTATTTAAAGATGGGAAAATCTATGAAAATGTTGGAATATTCTTTTTACATACTTTTATTACTGTAAGATAGGGTTAAGGATGGACATGGAATAGGTGTTAAATTACTTTCCCAAGGGGGAAAAATGAGTATTTTTTCATTTATCAATTTGTATTATAAAATTGCTATCAATTCCCCTACAGCAAAGCAGTTGAGGTTTCATGTGACAAGAGGTTGGAAAAAAAAAATCATGGTATTAACCCACAAATGGAGATGGAAGTGGAGAAGATAGAAAATATATGATTGTTTGAAAAGGACCCGGGGTCAAAACCTTTTAGGATATAAGAGCCCAAGTGGAACCCTGAGCTATTTCCTCAGACAAAAGAGACATCTGGCTAGAGAAGTGCACTTGTGGTCAGTCCCCTGCATGAGATTTTATCTGATTCTTATTTTATTTCTATTCCAGTTGCTACATTGATGGCCGGGTGGTCAAGGTGATGGACTTCCTGAAAACTCGCCTGTTAGACACACTCTCTGACCAGATTAGGAAAATTCAGAAAGTGAGTAAAAGTACCCTGCGAAGAAGAATGAGTTTGGGGCTAAAGCAAGGAAAAAGTCACAGGGTCCCTGCTCGACTTCCGCACTGTGGGAACCATGGTAGAAAATAGTGGAATGGTGCAGTTCAGGTGGGCATGGCTCAGGGCTCCATCTCACAAATAATGATTGTTGTTTATTGTTTTTCAAACTGGGAGGGGTTTGTGTGTACCATATCAAGGTTTAAAGGTTTAAAAACTGCTCTATTTTAATAAAAATATTTTTCAATAGTTGGTTTCTAAATTGTGAGTTTCAGGCTCAGCCACAATATTAGAAGCCATATAGAAAACTGGTGTTCCAGTTGCTGGGTCTTCCCATACACACCAGGAACACACATTTGTGTCCATGATCCTAGCTGGGAAGGCTGGGGTAAAGATCATATTTCTCGCTTTCTGTCTCTCTGTCTCTCTGGCGAGCGCATGCGCCCTGTAGCAAAAACCTCTCAAAAAAAAAAAATTACATCTGGCATTTTTATCTCTATAAATATTAAGCTCTGTGTGTTGCAGCAAAAATTGTAAACTGATTTTTCTTTTTTTAATTTATTTTTTAAATAATTACTTAATTGAACTTTATTTATTTATTTTAATTTGACCAGAGATGGACAGAGTGAGAGAGGCACAGAGTGAAGAGCAGGGAATGAGAAAGCAAGCCACCAGGTCCAGGACTCAAATTGCAGTCAGCCATGTGGGAGTCTAGCGCCCTTAACCACCACACCACCTGCCGGCCCCATAAACTGATGTTTAATATAGTTACTGAAAAAATAACACAGAAAAGTGAGGAAACTTTAATATATTTGATTCAATAACAAGAAAAATTATAGTACATTGTCATGTATTTAGTCACTGCATGATATAGTAATAAATATTCATGTCTTCAAATATGTGTTAGGTTAACATTACATAAATTACTTTAAACTTTAACACTAGACTGTTTCAATATGTGTAGCTTTCGTGTAATTTGCCATCTATCGCAACTTTTAAAAAATATCAGAGGTGCTAATATTGAAGCAATAAAAAGAAGATGTTGTTAAGGTCTTAAAGTAACAGACGTGAATATGCCAGCACTGGGCATTGCACACAATAAATGTTTATTTGATCTGAATCTAGCATCTGTATCAGAGATCAGGTGACATGTCATGCCATTGCTTTGTTTTATTCCTTAGTATAAGTAATCATAACATTTTTAAAAAACAGTACTCTGACACAGAAATTCTACTCTTTTTTTACTTTTTTTGGTTTTGTTTTGAGAGAGAGATTTTTGCTCTAGGGCACGTGTGCTTGCTAGAGAGACAAAGAGATAGAAAGTGAGAAATCACCACCCAAAGGGATGGCCACATCACAATCCCTTCTCCTCCAGTCTTCTCTGAGGATTTTGGGCATGCATGCACACACACCCAGCGTAAGTTTTAAGCTGCTAGATCTGGAACTTGAGCTGCTGTCAACTACGTGGGAGTCCGGCAACATAACCATTACATCATCCTTGGGTCCCCAGCAATTCTACTCTTTAAGGAATCTATACTCTCATACAATTTAGTCAATCCTCTATTGTTTATAATTGCATGTTTGTGAGCTGAAAATTGGAGAAATTATAGAAGTTGTCGAGTGCCTACTGTACACCAAGCTCTGTAGGTTGGTTATCTCATTGATCCTTAATTAATCCTGAGGAGTAGATATATTATCTCTCTTTTACAGATGAGAAAACCGAGGCCTGTAGAGGCAAAGTAATTTGCCCAAGATTATATAAGTAGTTAATACCTAATCTGGAACTTGAACTCAGATATCTCTGACTAAAACCTATATTCTCCCAATTTACCAGTGATGTAAACATTGGATTCTGGATTCTGTGCAAATGTCTCGAAGTAGTAAGAGAGGTCAAAGGGAAGCCCAAATAGGTGGAACTCATTCCCCACCATCATTTGAACCACAGCATCTGCTTTACAATAACAAAATTACAACAATTACAAACAACAACCAAAAAACTTTTAGATGAACCATTCTACTATACTGCATAGAGATTTGGTTAGAGATTTAACATTAAAAATAATTTTCACATAGTTCTATAATATGTACTGACGGGTGGGTATCTTCTTAAAAATGAAATAGTTTGGAACCAGCAGATGATGTAATGGCTACATTGTTGGGCTCCCATGGAGTCGATCGCAGTCCAGACCTGGTGGCTTAAACCATGCTGGGCATGTGTGCATATGTGCCCAAGATCCGGAGAGGAGGATGGAGGAGAAGGGATTGCAGCCTGGCCATCCCGCCTTGGGTGATTTCTCACTTTCTGTCTCTTTGTCTCTCTCTATCTTTCTGGTGAGCTCCCTATAGCAAAAACCTCTCAAAAAAAAAAAAAAATGAAAGAAAGAATTTAGTATTAGCCATCAATCAAGGAAATGTTAGTGGGTTGAAAAGGTATTCAGGTGGGGGTAAGGTCTCAGATAATGAAGGTCACCTAACCTTGGGCCATTATCAGCTCAGTCTTCACCAAGAAGGTCTCCCTAAAGCCTGATGGGCCAGTTTCAGTAAAATATTCATAACATAGTATCAGTATAACTTGATATTTCCCTTAAGCCACCCAACCAGAACCAGACCAAAACAAAAACTATTGAGTATCAACCAATTTTAGGAGAGAGGGCTTAGAACTTTAACTTGCTCAAGTTTGTTTTGTTTTTCGTTTGTTTGTTTTTTCACTCATTTACTCATTCATTCTGAATATAGTAGGTGACTATAAGATATTTTGGTGATAGATTGACTATAGGGTATTTTACCCAGGGAGATGAGCTAGAGACTAGAAGCATTTGCAATTCATTCACTGCACTAACTCAGATTTTTGCTTCAGCATTTGCTTTCTTATTTAAAGATGGGAAAATCTATGAAAATGTTGGAATATTCTTTTTACATACTTTTATTACTGTAAGATAGGGTTAAGGATGGACATGGAATAGGTGTTAAATTATTTTCCCAAGGGGGAAAAATGAGTATTTTTTCATTTATCAATTTGTATTATAAAATTGCTATCAATTCCCCTACAGCAAAGCAGTTGAGGTTTCATGTGACAAGAGGTTGGAAAAAAAAAATCATGGTATTAACCCACAAATGGAGATGGAAGTGGAGAAGATAGAAAATATATGATTGTTTGAAAAGGACCCGGGGTCAAAACCTTTTAGGATATAAGAGCCCAAGTGGAACCCTGAGCTATTTCCTCAGACAAAAGAGACATCTGGCTAGAGAAGTGCACTTGTGGTCAGTCCCCTGCATGAGATTTTATCTGATTCTTATTTTATTTCTATTCCAGTTGCTACATTGATGGCCGGGTGGTCAAGGTGATGGACTTCCTGAAAACTCGCCTGTTAGACACACTCTCTGACCAGATTAGGAAAATTCAGAAAGTGAGTAAAAGTACCCTGCGAAGAAGAATGAGTTTGGGGCTAAAGCAAGGAAAAAGTCACAGGGTCCCTGCTCGACTTCCGCACTGTGGGAACCATGGTAGAAAATAGTGGAATGGTGCAGTTCAGGTGGGCATGGCTCAGGGCTCCATCTCACAAATAATGATTGTTGTTTATTGTTTTTCAAACTGGGAGGGGTTTGTGTGTACCATATCAAGGTTTAAAGGTTTAAAAACTGCTCTATTTTAATAAAAATATTTTTCAATAGTTGGTTTCTAAATTGTGAGTTTCAGGCTCAGCCACAATATTAGAAGCCATATAGAAAACTGGTGTTCCAGTTGCTGGGTCTTCCCATACACACCAGGAACACACATTTGTGTCCATGATCCTAGCTGGGAAGGCTGGGGTAAAGATCATGGCATGAGACTCTGTCAAAGCTGTCTCTCTCTCTCTCTCCCTCCCTCCCTCCCTCCCTCTTTTTCTCTCATTTTCTTTGTGTGTCTCTCATTAAAAAAAAAAAAAAAAACTTGAAAAAAAAACAACAATAAATTATGAGTTTTATAAAAGGATAGATTTATTTTGTTATATTCTTTTTGGGCAGAGGGGTATGTTGGGTTGCTTTAAGGAGACAGTGATTACATTTATTCAGTGAAATTCTGGTCTGAGGCACTGGCAGTTCTGAGCTATTATTTATACTATTCTTAGGTATCTCAGAACCACTCGGGTAAGAACTTACTTTTGTGAAGATGAGAGGAAGCTATATCATATTAAACAATTGCTTGTAGGTCCTGTCAACAACACACCTTTGGTCAAAAGTTCTCAAATTTGAGTACAATAAAAATCACCAGTGGTGCTCATTGAAGTTTTAATTCTCATTCTCAGTGTTCTCAGTCCAGTTGGAGTGGATCCCAGAGATCTCTATATTAAATAATCCACTGCCAAGTGATTCTACTCAATGCAGATGGTCCTAGGATCATATTTTGAGATATACTGAATTAGTTAATTCTGAATTATGAGGATCTTATATCTATAATTTCTGTAAGACATCACTTTTTTTTTTTTTTATCTATAATTTCTGTAAGACATCACTTTTTTATTTTTTTTAAAGTTTGCTCTGGGGCACTTGTGCTCACTGAAAAGGGAGGAAGAGAAAGAGAGAGAGAGAGAGAGAGAAAGAAATCACCCCCCTACATGACCTGGCCATCCTGCAATCCCTTCTCTTGGGACTTTGGGCATGCATCCACACGTGCCTGGTGTGATTTTTTTTTCTTTTTTTTCTTTTAAAGAATCATTTTTTAAATATTTAGTCATTTATTTGTTTTAATTTGACCTGAGAGGGACATAGTGTGAAAGTGAGAAAGAAAGAAAGTGAGAGAGCAAGCCACCAGGTCCAGAACTCGAACTGTGGCTGGCCAAGGGGGAGGCCAGCACCCTTAATCACCATGCCTCCTGCCAGCCCCCTGGTGTGATTTTCAAGCCACCAGATCCAAGACTCAAGCCATGTAGCTGACCATGTACAACCCAGCTGCCTCGATCTCCATGCCACCTGCTCCCCAGAGACACCATATTTCTCGTTGCCCC